TATAGGTACTTGGCTTTCATTCATTTATGTTAATGTGAAAGAAGCTAAAATTCTTGTATAAAAGTGAAATTCCTTTAAATTAAACTATGTTCAAATCACTTTGAAATTTGAATATGTTCTCTATTCTTTCCTATTCTTATAAAACCCATTTCTTTATAGAATTTTTAATAATTTCTCAAAAAATATCCCCTTAATTTTAAAGCAGACCTTATAAAAACAGGCAAATCTTAATTTTTTGAAATATTAAGCATAAAAAAAAATCATGATTTACCCTATATGTTGCCAAAAGAAGAGATTGTCTTTGCAACAGAGCAAAGACTATGTTTTGTTATAGGAAATTCAGCAAAATGGACAGAACTCTCAAGTAATACCAATAATACCAACATTGGCACAACCGCGCAGCATGCAAGATGTACCTTTGGCAAATGAGCTTTGTACATATTTTAAAACCCAAGTTGCCTTTTGAATTGTGTCCGTATGAATGCTTTCCAAATCCAGGATTTTCTCTTTAAAGGATAGGAGAACTGTGTTATGTAACAACATGTTTAATCCACAGATGTAAAACCATATAATGACTGTTAAAGAACCAGGAAGCACGTGAGATCAGAGGGAGGTTAAAAGACCTAATTTGCCTCCTTTTCTCCATGCTTTCCTCCTTTTGCCTTAGATATCAGGTTAATGAATTAAGAAGCGGTCAAAGTAAGAATGTGGAGGAATGCTAGTTTAAATAGCTCAATCCTGTTTTCCCCCTGGATCTCTAGCTTTTGGGGACTTTTTGCTTCTTAATGAATCTCTAGGTGCCAGAACACAGACAGAGAGGTCCTCTGCAGAACAAGTAAGATTCGGGCCAGCAGGGCCATTGCCTGAGTGGGATGTTGGTCTGAAAGGGCCACTGGAATAGAAGAATGTGATATGGGCTTAATCCAGGCCTACCTGCGGAGCCCCATGCCTAATAGGTCACACAGACACTGTCTCACTGTCCCCAAATTAGACAAATCTGGGCTTTGAGAGTGGGAGTTGTTTCTGGAACAGATTGCCTATGTTATGTGGGAGTCACTGTTGAACAGATTTTTATAGAATATAAGTTAGAAAGGGCATCTACGTGTCTCTTTAAAAAAAATAGTTTTATTGATTTCAGAAAGGAAGGGAGAGGGAGAGAGAGACGGAAACATCAATGTTGAGAGAGAATCATTTATTGGCTACCTCCTGCATGCCCCCTATTTGGCAACAAGCCCACAACCCTGGCATGTGCTCTTGACCAGAATCAAACCTGGGACCCTTCAGTCTACAGGCTGACGCTCTATCCACTTAGCCAAACTAACGAGGACCTGGTGTCTTTTTATGCATTGGTGGTATCCTATTAAACCTAAAACATATCTTCTGGCATATTGTGCCATGACCTCTGATGAATAATTGAATAAATTAATGAATATCTGCACCGACTTGGTTTCTACTGCCAAATTAGTTTGGCTCCTTATACTATTAATAATTAGGGAGAAAACTTTATTTTGTTGCTTGCACTAGATATGTCACATAATGTTCTTTAGGATGGGAATAAATGTTTGTCATGAGGCATGTTTTCTTAAAAGAAATTATTTTAGCTATAAAAAGTTTCAGTAGTATTATGTAGCAAATTCACTTATATTTCTTTGCTTTATACCATTAGACTCAAAGAAGTAAACTTTGCATAAATATCTTTGGATTACTGTCTGACAGAATTGTAATTTATACATTTTGGTATATCCTATGTAGTAACTGTTAACAGTCGTTTTTAAAAATCTCTTAAAGGGACCTATAAACATAAATATTATTTTCTATAGCTTTCTATTGTTTGGGAAAATGTTGCTCTTTTTTTCATATGTAATTCTTCTTTGGGCTAATTTTTTAAAATATTTCATTGCATCTAAAAGTTTTTTTTCTCATTTCATAAATCAGTTATTAGGGTAAGCCATGTGGAATTAGTAATTTTTAAAGATCAAAATATCAAAAATTTTACATGGTAACCTAATATAATGATAAATATTCTTAACAAAGTTGACTTTTAAATAATTTGTATTCTTATTAGCTTACTGATACTTTGATAATTCCACTAATATTATTTTTATTAGTTGGAAATAAACACAGTCCCTGCTCCTAAGAAGTGCACATTTCTGCACTGGTGCCTGGAAATATCTTATCCTAAAAATATAATTTCAGTATTAAGTAACTATCTCTATTTTCAGTTGAGAATTTATTCTTTTTGCTACTTACTTATTTTAAGAATATTAGGAGTTACTCATGAATTGAGCACTCAAATCTTATTTTTGCTGTTCATGAAAAAAAATTTGATGACAGATCGGTTCCAGCATTTTCATTTATATAAATTATTAATAGCTAGATTTTATGGCTCTCAGATTGCTAACTTCTTATTACTATGGCAGCATAGTACTTTATTTTTAAACTTCACAAATGCTTAAATATAGTTAAAATGCAGTGAAACTTTTATTAGTATTGTTCAAAATTAAAATCTAGATGATTATGAAGTATTTAGCATTTTGTGTAATGATTCCAGACTCTCCAAGCACAGAGATAACATTTCTGTAGTTTTTTCCTTCTTTCTACCTTTGTCCCTATTAATTAGAAAAATAGAGAATAATATAAAAATATACAATTATAAACCATAATAAATCCAACAACATAACACTTATAAATGTTTTCGATCCATGATTGGTTGAATCTGTGGCTGACTGTAATATATGACCATTATGTACAATAAAAGAAAATTAAGAAAATACATATTGTATGTGTATATGCACAACCTGTGGACATAGAGCATGGGGTAGGGGGCAATGAGAGAGGGTTTGAAGAGGTTAATAGAGGGAAAAGGAAGACCTATGTAATATTTTTAACAATAAAGATTAAAAAAATAAAGTACATATTTATCTGCTTATTTTTACAAGGGGAAACACTAGAAGGGGTTGCTTATATTTATAAGAGGAAATGCAGTAAATCAGAAATTAGTGAAATTGATTACCTACTAGAGATGGGAGGACTAAGTCAGAATGGATTTTGGGAAGAGTGACCTAAGAATCCTTTCTATATAATTTTTACTTTTAGACTGGAAACAATCCAAGTGCCCATCAGTAGATGAGTGGATAAAAAAGCTGTGGTACACTTATACCATAAAATATTATGCAGCATTAAAAATAAAGGATATCTTACCCTTTGAGACAGCATGGAGACACGTGGAGAGTATTATGCTAAGTGAAATAAGCCAGTCAGAGAAAGACAAGTATCATATGAACTCACTCATATGTGAAATCTAATGAACAAAATAAACTGATGAACCAAACAGATCCAGAGACATAGAAACATATAACAGAATGTGGAATCTCAGAAAGGAGGCAGAGGGAGGGTGGGTGGTTGGAAAGTGATCAACCAAAGAACTTGTATGCATGCATGCATAGTCCATGGACACAGACAATTGGTTGGTGAAGGCCTGGGGAAGGGAGTGGGGGCAGGCTAGAAGGGCCAATGGGGGAATAAAAGGGGACATATATAATACTTTCAATAACAAATATTTTTTTAAAAGAAAAGGCCGATGAAATTATACTATTTATAAGTGTTATGTTGTTGCTCATGGGTATTGTATGTCGTTATGCTTGTCTGGACTGAACATGTACAGACTTTTTTTCCTTGTAATTACAAGGAAAACAATAGTGTAACGACTATTTACATAGAATTTACATTGTTTTAGAAATTACAAGTAATCGAGAGATGGTTTTACATTGTTTTAGAAATTACAAGTAATCGAGAGAGGTGTACAGGAGGATGTTTGTAAGTGATATGCAAATACTCCATTTTACATAAGGGATTTATGCATCTGAGGATTTAGGTATCCATGAGGGGTCCTGGAACCAATCCCTCCTCCAGCCCCCACTGCAGATACCAAGGGATGAATGTATAGATCAATGGTTCTCAAATGGGGATGGTTCTGTCCCCCCAGGGAGCAATATCTGAAGAATTTTTTTTTTTATCATTACTGTAGTGGATGCTACTAGTGTCTAATGAATAGAGACCAAGTATGTTGCTAAACATCCTATAGCCCTCAACAACAAAGGAATATGTATTTGTAGTTCAGTATATTCATAATGGTACTGTTGAGAATACCTGCTCTACATCTACTCTTGTGCTTTTTTTATTTTTTTGGAACTTCACAATAACTTATGGAAATTATTCTATCAATTTCCAAAGGTTTCCACATTCTGTTTTATGGCTACAAGAGGCAGGTATTATAGTTTACTCAGCCAGTCTCCTTTGTGTGAGCATTTCGGTTGTTTTCAATATTTTGCAATTACAAATAATCTGAATGGATAACAGTATGCACTTTTTTTTTTTGTTACTGTTGGTGTTTTTGGAAGTAAATTCTTAGAAGTGAATCAAAAGCCAAGTGATGCGTTGGTTTGCCAGATTCCCTGCAAAGGGTTGTACCATTTCACACCTTCACCACTGTATGAGCACACCTGTTTCTCCAGAGGTTGGAATGAGTTGCCGGGCTCTGCCAATCTGATAAGTACAAGTACATAACTCAGGATAGTTTTAATTTGCATTTCTCTTATTTTGAATGCCATTTTTTTTTTAAAGAAAAGTTTTGTTTGTTTACAATCCTGGGCAAAATCTTAAATTTTATAATAGTTAACCTAAATAATATTTGATGAAATACAGAAGCAACATTTATAAAATATAGCAAAACAAGCATGTGTTTCTGCTGCTGAAACTATCCAACTATCTCTTGTTAGATTTGAAATAGAAATTTATTTGTGGCTAAGTTTCAGTAAATCTTCACATGAACATAGCAGTGTATTATCCTGCCATGCCCAAAAGAAGAATACTCATCACTAGGCAACAAATACAACCCTACAAATGTGGTATGTAAAGTTTTCAATGGCGTTTTCAGACCACCAGGATGTCACACTGAAATGACATTGTACTGGGATTCTTATGTGCTTGGTGTTTCATAGGCCATACATGTCTCTTGGAAGTCTTCGGGATCAAGTCATCTATCCTGATTCAGTGGATGACATGCATGATAAAGGCTACACAGACCAAGACCTGGAATATATCCTACGCAATGTCCACCTCTATCACATCGTTCAAAGAGAAGGAGGTAAGCTCTGTCATTCTTTTGTTTAATATATTATACTTAACTTTGTTTCTAAAATTAAGGGGAAAATTGTCTGTGGTTTAATTTAAATATATGCTGTTATCCTATATAATAAAGTCTAGGTGGCATTGTGTGACATCACAAGATGGCCACCACAAGATGGCCAGCAGAGGAGGCCAGTTGGGGGTGATCAGGACAGCAGGGGAGGGCAGTTGGGAGTGAACAGGCCAGCAGGGAAGGGCAGTTGGGGATGATCAGCTTGGCAGGGGAGTTAGGAGCAATCAGGCCTGTAGGGGAGGGCAGTTGGGTGCAACCAGGATGGCAGGGGAGGGCAGTTGGGGGTGACCAGGCTTGCAGGGAAGAGCGGTTTGGGATGATTAGGCTGGCAGGGGAGGGCAATTGGGGGACCATCAGGCTGGCAGGGAGTGGTTAGAAGGTGATCAGGCTGGAAGGCAGAAGCAGTTAGGGGCAATAAGGCAAGCAGGCAGGCAAGTGGTTAGGAGCCAGCAGGTCCAATCGTGGGTTTGGGCATAACAGGCAGTCAGACATCCCCAAGGAGTCCCAGATTGGAGCGGGTGCAGGCCTTGGCTGAGGGACACCCCGGGCTCGTGAATGAATGTCAAGCACTAGGCCTCTAGTTGGAATATAAGCACACAATTAAAGAAAAATAGCTTTTATTGATTTTCTGTTCTTGACATCTTTTTCTGCTTGTGTTATATTTCATGCAGCACACTAGGCTTTTTATTAAGTCTGCTGCTGGCACTTTAAAACAGTTATTTTTTTCATATCTGGATGTACAGTATCCCTGAGGCTACTGTCATATGTAAAGGTTATTACAGATATATTTTTCTGTTAAGTTTGGCTTACATTAAAATTAATAATTTGAGAGATAATTGTCATGAAACTTCTTTTTTGGTTTTAGACCCACAGGCTTACCAATACATTTTTTTTCCCCCTCTCAAGCAGCATATAGAGGATTAGATACAATATAGAAATTTCTGTACTGTGGTGTTTTGTTTTTTTTCAGCATAAAATATTTTTTTAAAAAATAGGACTAAAAGTTTTATTTATATGAGCTTAAAAAGAATTGCTTTATAATGGTCACACTTTCAAGTAACTTGATAACATATAACTTGATAGCCTAGAAAAACTACTAAAATAACAAGCTTTATTTTAGTTTTAATTTTGCATGGATTTTATTTTCTAGTCCTTTTCCATGATTAGAAGAAGCAGGGTAGGACAGTGACTAAGCAGATAAGCTTTGAAGTCAAAGTTCTTGAATGAAGTCTTAGTTAACACTGTGATCTGTATCTTCAACTGTAAATATCTACCTTATAAGGATTCTGAAAAGATTAAATAAGACTATGTAAAGCATTTAGAACAGTAGTACATGGTAAGTGCACAAGAATTAGTAGCTAATGGTACTATTACTAGTTATAATATTGATACTACAGTATTTTGTCTTTGTATGATGGTACTTGATATTTTATACAAAAAGTCTCATATATTATTTCATTTTATCTTTACAATAGCAAATGAGGAAGATAACAGAGGTATTATTATATTTACTTTTATGTTGTTTGTAATATCATAATTTATAAATGCCACAAACATGGAAAGCAAGTTGTCTTTTTGCTTCACATGGTCAATTCCTTCTCAGTCCTAAAACACTCTACCAGAATATATATTGCCTGTTAATCTTGGGTAAATTATTATGGATTAGTTTGAAATCCAATAATCCAAATAGAAACGTATGATACATGTGGTTTATTTTATTTTTTAGAAGTCATCAAGTTCTAGAACTGTTTTTAAGAATGTTTCAACCTTAATAACAAAATCATAATTATAATGGTTTATTGAGTACTTACTATGCAGAATATAACATATTAAGCAATTTACATTGTCAACTTAATTAATACTTATAACTTCCCAATGATGTGGGTTTGACTAACTTTCTTTTACAGATGAAATTCAGAACGTTTAATACATTTCCTAGAGACTTATAGCCAGTGGTGAGACAGGGATTCAACCACAGACCATACTTGAAAGTCAGTGTTCTGTACTATGCTAAACCACTGTGCTATGTTATCTCCTAGCTTCCTGGGTATGTTATAGTCTTACACATTAAAAAAATTCCAAGAGAATCCATTTTACTTGCCTAATCCTTAAAACATGAAATATGTTTTTAAGCGAAGCAAGAAAGCACTTATATTTGCAAGGTCATCACTTACTTGGAAGAAGCCTACTGAAGTTCTGTGTAGACTGCTTAATATTTTGATTAGAGAAGTGCTTTGCTTTAGTAAAATGTGGAATTAAAAACTATGTTTCATTCCATCAAAGAGTTTTCAAAATAGAAAGAAGAAGTGTTAACAAATGGACATGAATAAAGCAGTTTGTGTATCTGTAGGTAGCAGGAAAGCCATTCTCTTCTTAGCTGTCTTAGTCTCTCTAAATCAATATCAGAAGTGATAATATGACTTACGTTCTGATCTAGCTATTCTGAGATTAAGCAGCATTGCCTGCTAACACTTTTGGGTTTAGTGGAACAAAGAATATGATTTATTTAAATATGTAAATCTAAAACTTCTCTTGACACAAATACTTTTGTTTTCTCAGTTGGCAAGGGAGAAATGTTTTTAAAGCTCAGAATACTTATCACACTCTAGTAATCAGAACCTATTTTTCAAACCCTCACTTACGTTTCATAAATACAGTCATTGAGCCCAGCTGGTGTGGCTCAGTTGGTTGAGCATTGTCCAATGCACTAAGAGATCGCCAGTTTGATTCTGTCAGAGTACATGCCAACATTTCAACCTCGATCCCAGTTGGAGGCATGCAGGAGGCAGCAGATACATGTTTCTATCTCTCTCTCCCTCTCCCTTCCTCTCTCTGAAATCAATAAAAGCATATTGTTTTAAAAAAATAAAAAAAATGTTCTAAAAATTCAGTCACAGAAGAAATATTATGTCAACAGTTTTCACTAGATGCAAGAACTTTAAACCAGATGGCATTTTTTCTAATATAAGGATATGGTTTTAAATGGATAGAAAATTCCTGGAAGGAAAAGAACACACACAATTTGCAATGTGGTTTTTCATATAAAAAAATTCTGAGTACATTTCTATATCAGTATGTATAGATTAAACTGTTTTTGAAAAATAGAAGTGTTGCTTTTTTTCTTTGAGTAAATATCCAATAGAAAGTCAGTAACTAAGAAGTTGTAGGAGATGTGGCATAGACTGCACAAGCATAAAATAGACCTGCATATAAATCTCATCTCTGATATCTGGCTGTGTAAAATTAGACATGTCAATTATTCCAGGAGTTTCAGTGTACCCATCTATAATATGCAGTTAATAATATCTGCCTTACAAGATTGTGGAATATTAATAAGAAAACTCATATAAAGTGACAGACACTTGGGAGCATTTACGTTAGTTCCTACCTTATCTTTGGTAGACTTTCCAATAGGCCTATGCAAGTGTGTTGGTCTTTCCTCCCAGCACCCTGCAAAATAAGTATAACTATACCAACTTTTTGAACAAATCCAAAAACAAACAAATTTTAATAGTGTCAGTATTTCAAATTCTTGAAAGATGATTTGTCAGCAAAAGGAAGTATTAGAAATAAAAATATCATATCTAAAACAAAATGCTTATCCATGAGGCTCTCTAGTTTATCCAAGCATGTGTTCTGTAAAATACCAGGTTTTTTGTGTTAATAAACTTGCCAGAATCACCTGTCCAAAACTGTGACAATTAAACGAATACTTTATGAAATATATATCTTTATTTTTTAAGGATGGGATGCTATTATGGACTGGAAAGATGTCCTATCAGGAGGGGAAAAGCAAAGAATGGGCATGGCTCGAATGTTTTATCATAGGTGAGTATGCTATTCCATGAGTGTAACAAAAAAAACAAAAAACTTTGGACAAGATTCACTGACCTCATCTTTAGTTTAAAAATATCTCACTGAAAAATAAGTGCTTAGACTTTACAGTTTAATTTTTTTATGAGACAGAAATTGCCAAGTTCTTTTTTCTATTTTTTTAATGATGATTAATGTTAGATGACAAAATTAAATTTTTATATATTATAAGTTTGAAAGTGGAATTGGTATTAATTTTAAATTGTAAAGAATACATAATCACCATTTATTGTTGTGAACACAGTAGGTAGGCATTCAGTAATATTTCTGAATTAAATTGTTAAATTCAAACTGGTACATCTACACAATGAAATACTATGCTGCAGTAAAAAAAGAAGGAATTCTTACCATTTGCAATAGCCTGGATGGAACTGAAGAGCATTATGCTAAGTGAAATAAGCCAGTCAGAGAGATATAAATATCACATGATCTCACTCATTTATGGAATATAATGAACAATATAAACTGATGAACAAAAACAGATCCAGAGATAGAGAAGCATCTTTCAGATCATCAAATCTCAGAAGAAAGGTAGGGGTGGGTAGGGATAAGTGGGGAGAGATCAACCAAAGGACTTGTATGCATGCATATAAGCCAAACCAATGGACACAGACACCAGGAGGGTGAGGGCATGAGTGGGGGTCAGGGGGAGAGATAATGGGGAGATAAAGACACATATGTAATACCTTAGTTAATAAAGAAAAAAATTAAATTAACTTTTAAACCACTCAGTAGCCTATTACATTTATAATGTTCCCCTCCTAAAAAATCAGAGGCATATCCAATGGAAAAAGGAACCAGCCAGCATAGGTCTTAATGGACTCTGGTAAAAAGAGGTTCAGAAAATAATTTCTCCTGATAAAACTTTTTCTCTTTGAAACCAGCATCAAATTCATAGGAGTTCAAAGATACCAGGCATAGAGGACACTAGAAAGAAATAAAGCTATTCTGCTTTATCCATCTTGTCTGTCCTGTTATTCTCTGAAAAAGAAATATCTTTTCCCCCCCTTAGACTTGTGGTAATGAGAACCTGAGTAGTATGCAAAGCAGGAGGTTATCAGAAAATATGTAACTAATTTGTAGTACTTACATCTTGGTCACAAAGGACCAAGAATTACATTTACATATGTGAAAACATGAATGGGCCATAAGTTGGGGCAGTGAATACTCCTGAAGGAATTGTAGTGGAAGCAATAATACTTTTGTAGAGAACTTTATACTTTGGCACCAATACCTGAAATCTTAGGATACTTTCGAACATAATAACATACAATAATTGTACCTAGTAAAATTGATAATAATTGTTTAAAGTCATCTGATTGATATTTAAAGTTTAACACTGGAAAAAGCACGTATTTAAACAAGTCCATTAAAATATGATTATGCATTAATTTCATAAAAGTAGAAAATATAGATAAATTAAAAAAAGAAAAAATCTGTCATCTCATTAACCTATAACACTTAAAATTTAGAAATAGTTATTCTCAGTCTTATGGATGCACAAAAGCTGGTCATTATCTTGATTTTGGAATGTAAGTATTTTCATAAAGTATATTAAAATTATTTATTTTTTATTTTTTGATCCGAATCTGAGGATTGAGGATTTTTCCCCCCATTGATTTTTTAGAAAGTGGAAAGGAGGCAAGAGGAGGAAAGAGAGAGGAAAGAGAGAGGAAAGAGAAACATGGATGTGAGAAAGACACATGGATTGGTTGCCTTCTGCATGCACCCCAACAGTGGGAGGGGAGTGAACCTGCAGCCCAGGTACTTTTGACCAGGAATTGGAACTAAACCCTACAATGCACATGTTCACACTCTAACCACTGAGCACCACCGTTCAGGGCTCTCTTTTTATTTTGCCAACTTTTATGTGTATTATTATGCAAGAGCTAGCCAGAATTTGAAAAAATCATTATTATGATGTTTTATGTACCTAATGCACAGACAGACCTTAAGTATATATTCAATGACTTTCACTAAGTGTGTGATACATTGTATGACCAATACCTTAATTAAGATAGAGAACATTTCTGTCACCCTAGAAAGTCCCTCATTCCCATTTCCAGTCAGATCCCCACTTAGGTAATTTCTGTTTTGAGTTCTATCATCATAAATTAGTTCTTTCTGTTCTACAACTTCATATAAATTAAATCAGCCAGTATGTATGAATTTTGCATCTAGCTGGACTTTTCAATAGAAAAAAAAATATTATGTTAAAAATACCATATTTATATTAATGTACGTGGTTAGTTTAAGAACATGACAAGCTTAAAAAAAAGTGGACTAAAATTTGCTCACTTAGAATTTTCAGTGAAGTGTATTTGGTAATGACCATTTCTCAGCTAATGTGATAAGATTCAAGTGTAAACTTTGCAGTTTGACATTTATGACCAGCTGTTACCCACTATCACGCTGAATCTGTTTGCACTCTGTCCATAAATATTCAGTAATATGATCACCAGCATAGTTGGTGAAATGTAATATAATGGAATGTAAAATGTGACCTCAAATTTCTCACTGCATTAGTTTGTTAATAAAATAAACTGTGTAATAAAGAGTAAGAGGCATTAATGAAAGATGCCAGCCAAAAGAGGTTTCAAGTACCCATAACTTGAAATAAATAGTTGATACTTCTTTGTGTATCTAAAACATTTTGGATATGAGACTGAATAAAGATCAAATTACAAGTATATCAGTGGAAAGGAAATTTTGTGATCATGAAGATGATGAAGTTGTTGAAAAGCAGAACCTATTGAGAAAAAATAAAATGGAAATATTAAACACAGTGAAGGAAAAGTATGATAATGAGAAACTGCCTCCCCTCGTTCTCAAGGAATTGATAAAAAGATTTGAATTGCAATGTGAAAGAATAGAGCTAGCTAAAATGGAGAACTGTGGCAGAGAGTATTCAATATCACAATTGTATACTCTTTTTGAAAGGATTTTTAATGTTTAAAACATGATCAATATAGTTCTGTCTTAATGGGGATAGATTAAACCTTTTGCAAGACTCATTCTCCTGATGATACCAAAAGAAAAAGGAAGGAAAATCTGAGAAACCATATTGTCTAATGTTTCACTTAGTTATATCAATCCCAGATTCCAGCTATTGCTTACTATATTTAAGTACAGCTACAGAGCGCGCGCGCACACACTCACACATACACATACACACACAAAGCAGTCATCCACAGAAACAATGGTGTGCAATCTACCTTACATCTAGACTAGGGGTTGCTATGACAACAGAGTATAAGATATATACTTTTTTCTAATTCTAAAATGGCTTCTCTTCTCTGTTTAGTCCAAAGCACTCTAAAAATAAGACATAATATAATAAGTAGCTTTATTACTCAAGAGATTTCCAAAGAAGAAAATTTTATCCCGATCCATCTCTTTTTTATAATTTTATTAAATCTTTTAAAAAATTTATTTAAAAATTATAATTGACATACAGTATTATATTAGCTTCAGGTGTACAACATAGTAACTCAACATTTACATACCCTACAAAGTGATCACAACAGTAAGTCTAGTAACCATCTGACAGCTCACATAGTTATGACTTTATTCCTTATGCCATTGATTACATCCTCATGGCTTTTATAACAGGAAGCCAACCCTCTCTCTTATACTTCCATTTTCCCCTCTCTTCCAATTAAAAAAATGTCATTCATAGAACAGTGATCAACACTGAGACAACAAAGTAATGCTTAATACTTAAACCAGAACAGTAACCAAAAGCCAAGAAGCAAAACTGCATCTGTTGATGTCATGGGCAACTGGCAGTTACCATTTAGTTCTTTTCATGGAAAGCAGTTATTGAAATAAAACGGTGGTGCCGGGTGGGGTAGCTCAGTAGTTGAGTGTCAACCTATGAACCAGGAGGTCACAGTTCAATTCCCAATGTGGGCACATGCCCAGATGCAGGCTCAATCAGGGGGCAGCCAATCAATGATTCCCTCTCCCTCTCATTTCCTCTCTGAAATCAATAAAAATATATTTAACAAAAATAAAATGGGGTGTTAAAGTTGCCTTGACTACTCCCACTCCTAACAATGGGTATAGGATCTTATGAAAAAGCAAATCCATCATAGAAAACTATTTTACAGTGCTAAGTAACTATTTAAGCTGAATGAGAAATTACTACTGGTTTCAATTTTATCTTTTCATTGTCATTTATTTAAAAAAAAACATATAATATCTTCATGATGGAAATTGTCCTGGTAAATACTTAATACTGATTTTCAACCCTGAAGTAAATAATAAATGAGAGTGCAATAATAAATAAGAGCTCTCTCTCTCTCTCTCTCACCCTCTCTCTCTCTTCAAATCCTCACCCGAGGATATTTTCCATTGATTTTTAGAGAGAGTGGAAGAGAGAGGGAAAAATAGACAGAAAGGATAATGTGAGAGAAACACATTGATTGATTGCCTCCTGCCTGAGCCCTGACCAGGGCCCAGGCAGGGCAGTCTGCATGCCTACGCTCTATCCATTGAACAAAACCGGCTAGGGCTCATCTTTGGTCCTCTTAACAAATCTAAGTCATGTTGCTGAGTACTAAATACATACCTAAAGTCCAGACAGGTTTGAAATAAAGCAGCTAAAGGAAAAAGAAACAGTAGGGGAGTGAGGTGAAAGGAAGAATAAACAGATGAAAATGGTGGTAAATGACAAGTGCCTCTGATAGTAGTAGAAAGTCATTTCCAGAGAAAAGTTGAGCTAGCAAAAAACAGAATTGTTGAGTATAAAAATATTTACTGATTTCCCCCCTAAGAATTTGATTGTGAAGCCTACTCATAATGTTACCAAGGTAAATACCTACTCTAAACTTGTCAGATTAGGCATACTTACTTTTGCAGAATCTTATAGCAATGAGATTCCATTAATAGTAAGTGATTAGGTACTCACAATGTTGATAAAATTATCTTCTTAGTAATTTTTTTTTCTAACAGGGCTGTGGTTTGTTTGATAATTAGCTACTGTAATGTATTTTTCATTTAATTAGTTAGAACCTTATCACCAAGATTGAGCCTGCCCCACATATGTGACTCACCCATCTGCGTAACAACAAAGCTTATTGTACTGTGAGCAGGCTTCAGAAAATCTATTTAAAAATTAAGAAGAATATCATATTCTAGTCCAAAGGGTGGGGGTGGAAGGAAGACTGCTCTTTTGCTTTACCATTTATCACCTTTGATATGTCATAGACTGTCTTGTTTCTTGTTTAAAGATAACATCACTACTCATGATGTTCAAATAAAGATTTATCTTCCAAATAGGAAAATCACTCATTTATTTGTGCTTATTTTTTAAAGACCAAAATATGCATTGCTGGATGAATGTACCAGTGCTGTCAGCATTGATGTTGAAGGAAAGATATTTCAGGCTGCAAAAGGCGCTGGAATTTCCTTGCTATCCATAACACACAGGCCTTCTCTTTGGTAAGTGTTTCCAGTTTGTGAGAGATGGTTTTTCCTACATATTGGCTTTTCTCAACTTTCCACTATAAAGCATAGGATGCTTCATCTACTTTCTACCTATATTTTTATTAAGTTGACACTAGTTGTTTATATATCTCAAACCTAGCATTAATGTGCTATTTGGAAATTCCAATAATCCTTTAAAAAAGTTCAAAAATTTGATGACTATGAAATATTCATAATTTCATAGGGTATTCTAGTAAAGAATATACAAGAGAGGGAAAAAGTAGGTTTATAGTTGTGAATATGTGAAACACAGAGTTTATTCTTTTGAGTTAGTAAAACTATTATAATAATCATAACCTGCATGTCTTTTTCCACATGAACAACTATAAGCCTACTTTTGTCCAACTCTGTATTTGCATACTTTTACATTATCTTTTTAGTTTGTTTTTCAAAATCAGGAAAATGTCCAAGTTGATATTGCCCAAATGATTAACTCAAAGGAAACAGGGGGGGAAAGTTTTGTTTTGTTTCAAGGAAAAAGTGAATAAAAATGTTTTATAAATATCTCATAAATGAGATTTTCCATTTTAAAAAAATGATATGATCCCTCAGCATGCTCTGCAGTGATTGGGTCTAAACGGGCAGCCAGACATCCCTTGAAGGGTCCTGGATTGGAGAGGGTCAAGGCTGGGGTGAGGGACACCTCCCCCCTGGTCCCATGCATGAATTTCATGCACCAGGCCTCTCTGTATATGTTAGAGCAGTGGTTCTCAACCTTTCTAATGCCATGACCCTTTAATACAGTTCCTCATGTTGTGGTGACCCCCAACCATAAAATTATTTCCGTTGTTATTTCATAACTGTAATTTTGCTACTGTTATAAATTGTAATGTAAATATCTGTGTTTTCTGGTGGTCTTAGGTGACCCTGCTAGCGGTTCTCACGACCCACAGGCTGAGAATTACTGCTGTTAAAACCACCCAGCCAACATGGGATGGAATTAGGAGGCTTATTAAATTACCTTGTAATTCAGTTCTTTATTCAAGTAGCCTAAAGAGGCATTGGAAAATAGCCATTTTTCTCAATTAAAGTAACAAATAGGTTGTTGTTTTGTTTTTCTTTAAATATATTTTTAATGATTTCAGAGAGGAAGGGATAGGGAGAAAGAGAAACATTGATGATAGAAGAGAATCATTAATTGGCTGCTCCTCTCACATCCCTCACTGGGGATTCAGCCTTCTAACTAGGCATATACCTTGACCAGGAATTAAACCATGAACTCCTGGTTCGTAGGCCAGCGCTCATCCACGGAACCACACCAGCTGGTGGTGGTTGTTGTTTTTAAGACTTTATTTTATAGAGCAGTTTTAGGTTCACAACAAAATTCAAAGGAAGGTACAAAAATATTTCATATACTCTCTGCCCCTATACATGTATAACCTCTCCATTGTCAATCTCCCCCATCAGAGTGGTACACTTGTTATAATCGATGAACTGATATTGACACATCATTATCACCAAAGTCTATAGTTTACTTTATAGTTCACTCTTAGTGTTGTACATGCTATGGGTTTGGACAGATTTATAATTATGCTAGAGACCTGGTGCATGGATTCATGCATAGGTGGGGTTCCTAGGCCTGGCTTGCACCCTCTTACAATCTGGGACTCCCCAGGGGGTGTTGGACTATCAGTTTCGGCACTACCCCTGCAGACCATGCCGAGGCACCACATCAGTGCACCACAAACCAGGTCAAGGGACCCCACTGGTGCATGAATCTGTGCACTGGGCCTCTCGTACGCATATAAGATTTGGTTAATCTCTTCCCACCCTCACCATTTCCCCCTTCCATCTGAGATTCAGTAGTCTGTTCCATGTTTCCATGCCTATTTTTTGAGCATCTGCTACCCTGGTGGTCATCAGTCAAATGGTTGAACAGTCACTTAGGCTTTTTTCTCTATACTAGAGGCCCAATGCATGAAATGTGTGCAAGGAGCTTGGCCCTCACAGCTGTGGTGGCTTGTCTCAGCCCTCACTACCCCAGCTTCATCCAGAAGGTCATACAGAAGGACATCCTGAAGATTGTTTGGCTGTCCGATCTAATTAGCATATTATGCTTTTATTATTCTAAATATAAAAGCCTAATATTCAAAGTGTCCCCTTGGGAGTTTGACCAACTAGGGGTTCAATTGTTCACTATATGTGCACTGACCACCAGGGGGCAGTGCAGAATGAAAGGAGGCCCTGGCTGGCAGCCAGCAGCCGGGGAAGGGAGGCCCTGACCAGAAGCTGGCAGCCACTAGGGACCCTACCAGTGCACAAGTTTCGTGCACTGAGCCTCTAGTGTATATAGATGTCTTCACCATTATAGTATTATACAGAATATTTTCTTTGCTCTGAAAATCCTCTGTGTTCTGCCTGTTACTCCCTCCATTCCCTACCTCTTAGAAACCACTGAGCTTTACTGTATCCATAGTTTTGCCTTTTCCAGAATGTCACATAATTAGAATTGCACGGTTTGTAGCCTTGTTCATTGCTTTCTTTCACTCAGTAATATTCATTTATATTTCTTCCATGTCCTTTCATGGCTTAATAGCTCTTTTTAGCACTTAATAGTACTCCATGGTTTGGATTTATACACTTTACCTATTCACCTACTGAAGAATATCTTGGTTGTCTCCAAATTTTGGCAATTATGAATAAAGTTGCTATAAACATTTATATGCAGGTTTTTGTGTGGTCAGTGTCGAAGAGTACAGTTGCTGGATTGTATGGTAAAAGTATGTTTAGTTTTGTAAGAAACTGCGAAACTATTCGTCAGGGTGGCTGTACCATTTTGCATTCCCATTGTCAGTGAAATAGATTTCCTGTTGCTCCACAGCTTCATTAGCTTTTGGTATTGTCAGTGTTCTAAATTTTGGCCACTCTAATAGGTGTGTAGTGGACAAATAACAAAATCCATAATTTTATACCTTTTAACAAGAAAAATATGTTTGTTTGCTTTTTTAAAAAAATATTTTTTATTGATTTCAGAGAGTAAGTGAGATGGGGAGAGAAATAGAAACATCAATGATGAAAGGGAATCATTGTCAGCTGCCCCCTACTGGGGATCAAGCCAGCAACCCATGCATGTGCCCTGAACAGGACTTGTACCATGACATCCTGGTTCATAGCTTCATGCGCAACCACTGAGCCACGCCCACCAGGCAAAAATCACATTTTAATTGCAGCTACCCCACTATATTTATTAAATTAAAATTATTTTAGCTCTGCTCTATGAATTAGGTTAGTCAGTTTATGATTGGATATCATTTATGATTATTCTTTCTCCCTAGATGAAATTCTTATTTCCCTTGAAAAGATTTCAGAAGAGGGAAAAGATACATTATATTTTCCCCCATAACAACAAATGGGTAGTTTTGTTTGTAAAGATTAATCAATACTAGTTTCAGAAGTGGTCAAAAATTAGAGAGGCTTATTAAATTATTTGGTTCCTGGATAGAATTACAGCTTTTTAATTACCACTTTCCTGTGCTTTATCCTATTTGTGCAGGAAGTCTGCCTATTATTACCCATGAGCCTCAGTTAATATAGTAGCTTCTTTTAAATTCCTCTCAGATAAACCCTGAAATATTATTTTAGCCCATAATCTAGAACTCACCTTTGAAACTATATAGTTCCTTCCTTCCATGTAGAAATCAAATAATGTTGTAGGACTGGAATAATGAGCCAAATCTTTTTTATACATTGGAGATACAGTTTGCCCAAGATCTGAACTACCACATCCTAAAATTGCTTGTTTGTAGATCCAAGGTTAGGAAGGCCCAAGAAAAGTTGAGAATGGATTTTTTTAAAGTGATATTTATACCATTATTTCTTTCTTGTATGATAATCCTTCCTGTGCTTTTCCATTACTTTTATTTTAGCTCTCATCTTTTAATAGCAGCATTTTCACTTTTTTCCCTTTGACATAGAACTATATTGTTGACCATTTAATTTTTGTGAGGTCCCCACCTATTGGGAGGTCAAAGTTTTGAAAACTGAAAAACCTAAATATAGCACTTGAAAAACTTCAAAAGCATATGAAAAAAATCATTAATCCCCGCCACATGTTATCAAACATTTGAACTTCAACCTTCAGCTTTAGAGTGATTTTAGTCTTTTAGACATAGTTTAACCTAGCTTAGTTTTTCCATCTTACATCATGTTAAAACAACCCAGCCAATGTGGAATGGAATCCAAATGCCTATTAATCAATGAATAGATTTTTAAAATGTTCAATAACATACAATGGAATAGTATTCCGCCATAAAAACAAATAAAGTACTAAATGCTACAATTAGATGAACTTTGAAATCATTTTATTAAGTAAAAGAAGCCAGTCACACACAAACAGGCACATATTACATGATTTTATGTATATGAAATGACCATTATAGGCATATCCATAAAAAGGGAAGGAGATTGGTGATTGGCAGGGTCCAAGCAGAAGGGGAAATGGGGAAGGCCTACTAATGGATATGGGGTTTATTTGGGGGTAAAGGGATGAAGAAAATATTCTGGTATTGGATAGTGGTGCTGGTTGCATGAGCTTGTGCATATACTAAAATCACTAATTTTACACTATAAAGGAGTGAATTTATAGTATGTGAATCATGGCAATTAAGAAAACATAAAAGCTACATAAAGCTACTAAATCATAGTAAATAATGATAGATGAGAACCTGAGAGGGGAATAAGACATGAGAAAAACTACAAGGAAAAGACAGAAAAACTGAGGACATGTAAGAACATGGGCCACCTCAGCACAGTGATAAAATTCAGTGGCTCAGCCATGTGAGGCCAGTTCTGCAGGCAGTTCTCCTTCAGGCAGCCCACAGATCCCAGAGACTGGCCTAGCCTACTCGTGGGAGAGGATGGAGCGTCTGCTGGCTCATTAATAAAATCATCTCTATACCTCTCAAAATTCCTAAGTATAAACCTGAGTCATGAGAAAGGAGATTAAATTATATGGAGGCATAGATATAGCTTTAAAAGATTTATTTCAAAAAGTTCATTTTTTTAATGTTTAAAAATTTTAATTATTGAGAAATATTTACTTGTGTAGAATAATGAATAATTCATCCTCAAAGGATTGTATATTAATGAATTGGAATCGTATTTTCTTTTATCTTTCTTAGTTTTTTTCTGTATAAACTTTAAAATGTTTACTTTTCCCCCTCAGCATCCTTTCCTTATTCCTATTGTAAATATGTTTTGATATTTACTCAGGAGCCATAGTAGATTATGAAGATAAATTAAATAGATGCAATAGCATGTTGCAATGCATACATATTCAGAATATCAATTTAACATAAATAGTAGAATTTCCTAGAGATTAATGAGTTTGGGAGTAAAAAAAAAATCACAAAATTTAACCTCTTGAGGGATTCTTGAAAATCAAATGTAAAATAGGCATTTTACAACAAATTTACTTTTGGAAATCAATTAGCATGATAAATCTATAGCTAAAATAGCTTTTCACAATTATTGCTAATAATATTATTTCACTTTGATTATACAGGAAATACCACACTCATTTATTACAGTTTGATGGTGAAGGAGGCTGGCGCTTTGAACAATTGAATTCTGCAATCCGTTTAACACTGAGTGAAGAAAAACAAAAACTAGAATCTCAGCTAGCTGGAATTCCCAAAATGCAGCAGAGACTCGATGAATTATGTAAAATTTTGGGTGAAGACTCAGTACTGAAAACAATCAAAAATGAAGATAAAACATCATAATTTCTTTTAACAATGTTTTAAGAGCTCATTTTAAGGTAAAGACTCAGAGACACTCTGTTATAAGTGCATGCATTGTGTTAAGCTAAGCACAGAGAAAAAAGCAGCAAGAAATATTTTGTAATATTTTAGCATCAAGGAAATATATGACCTGACTTTTCAGTTATGTAAGATTAGTCATCATGGCTTGTACTAATTCCTGGCAGAAACCTATTTCACCTGTAAAATGGTTTTCTAGGTGAATTAATGGCGAATGCCCAATTTACTATGTCGTATGTGATGTGCCTGAAGTCCTTGACAAGCATGGGAGGTATATTCAGAACAGAACAACTTAAGAGCAGCATTTGGGTTGAAATCAGATGCATAAAATTAGAAGTCTGAGTAACATTTCAGTCTATTTATGGTTATTAGGTTTAATAGCTACAATTCAGTTTCATCATTGGTCAGTTAAATCTGTATACAAAATAGCTGACAGTTTGATCAATAATTTTAATATGAAAAATTATTTCAATGGCAGTGGCTAAAAGGAAGAAGATTGGCTATGTATGTAGGCCATATTTTTCATTTTAGTTTATGAGTGTCTTAGTGTGAGCACATACCAAATTAGTTTTTATGAAACTCTTACATATTTGTTAATCCATTCTTTCATTTTAAAAAGGGAATTGCCAATACAGAAAAGGAGTATCTAAGTGATGTTTGTCTCAGCCTGTTACTTTACTTGGCAGCATTTTCTATTACAACTTCTGTTCAGGAATACTTAGTTTGTTCTGTACACAAAGAAGGAGTCTACCACATTTTAAAAGCAGTACTATTATAATAGAATATAGGAACCTCTAAATCACAGTAGTAATAACATCCAATGGAATAGTATTTTATAGCTTACAATTCTCACATTATTTTATCTTCATCCTTGTGGCAATCTTTTGAGAAAGATACTGACTTTCTTAATTTGCTCTGAAAAAATTGACAGACTTGTCCTAATTATGCAGTTTATTTAGGAATAGATCCAGGGATCAAATGAAGTTCTCCTCAATCCCTGGTTCAGTGCTATTTCCACTAATTATCCTTAAAATCTAACTGGGCTGTAATATCAATAAAAGTTAGATGAGATGTGGGGGGAAAATAAATTTGGTAAAGTTAACGTTGTTATTTGATTATTGTTTACAAGGTATGGAAATTAAGTCATCGGTCTGTGGTTTAAAATGAGCCAAAAAAGTTAGCAAATCTTTCAGCAACTATGTACTCATCATATAAGTTACCTCCACAGATAGCATTCAGAAGGGGAATTAATTGTGTTATAAGTTAACTTAATATTTATTGAACATAATGAGAAAGAATCTGTATAGAATAGTCATAAGGAAATAAGTCTTATTTATTCATGTGCCCTGGAGTTAGAAGTACAAAAGCCAGGACTGGCATTTTCATCTTATACTTTCTATACCACCATCATGCTAGGCCAAGGGGAAAAAAAAAAAGGAGTGATCAGTTATTAGTGGTTTAGAATTTTATTTGCATATTTAGACACAGGGTTAATAGTTGCTAAGTCAGTGATTCTGAGACTTTTCAGATATGAGTACCTGAAAGTCATTCTTGATTATTGAGGGAAAACATCATGCCATTTTCAATTTCTGCCATGCTAACTAGGACACTTGAAATCATCAATAATTGTTACTACCTTATATGAAGGAATGCAATATAAAATCATAATCAGTACCTCTAATTTTTTCTTTTAGTATAGTTAGCTACTCAACTTATTCACTTGTCAGTTACTACTACTTCTTTTAGAAAAATGAGACAAGTATCAAAGGTTTAGAAATAAGCATAGAACCAAAACTTAAACTTAATAGAAATTACCCACTAATGATAATTTCTATGTTAGCAGTTATCTAGTTTATACTGCTTTGGGGGGAAATCTGAGGCAAGTGCCCTAAGTTAACTTTTAAGGGAAAACGAAAAGTCCTCATTTGAAACATATGTATAATTTTCATAATTTGAAAAATAAAGGATTTAGGACCCAATATATTATGTTTTAAAACTTTGAGCAAAATGCCAAAACAAATATTAGATTTGTAATTAGCACTTATGTAATATATCCTACCAATGAGCTGAAGTAAGACACATTTATAATGTACAGAATTCAAGGTTGTTTAAAATTTTATACTAAAAATTACACATACTATAAGTTAAATGTTAAAGTTGACCAGAAATATGTTTTCCATGAACTTTTTTGTGCCTCTTTATTTTCTGAATTTTTTTCTAGGATCAATATCCTCTAACTTGGAGAGGAAAAATATCTGTGATTTGAATTTCTATTTATGTATTATATAACATATACCATATTTTACTATTCTTATATTTTATAAAAACATGAACAAGATTAAGAAACAAAATAGCCATCTTTGAATATAAAAAGATGAGGAACAGAAAAAGATGAGGAACAGATGAGGAACAGAAAAGAAAATATACTTCAATTTTTAAACTACTTTGAAACCATGTTATCTATTTTCCCAAACTATTGACTTTTTTGTTTGTTTGCTTATTTTTGTTTGTTTGTCAGAGAAAGCTGCAAGTTTATGAAGCTTGATTCTTAATGTGCATTTTTGGTTAACTTTTAAACTTGGAAAATAACTTGCACTTGATGAAAATGTTGCATTCTATTTCTACAGCATGTAGTGTTATGCCAAGCATGAGTTTAAAATAGTATGTGTTCTTGTGAACAAGATATTGTGTAAAAATCCCTTTCCGGTAATCTCAAGGAGAATGATATATCTTGAAATTCAATCCAAGTTTACATTTGTTTACAATGGGAATGGTTTTCCCTTGATAATAATTTGGTTTTTGTGTCAAATTTTGCTCTGCCAGTGAAGGTAAAAATGAACATTAGTTTTTTATCTGTGACTTTGGTTCCAAATATGATTCCATATATGGCAATAAGGAGTCTGTTAAAATCTGGAATAGTTTTGATTCCATAAGCCTAGAAAAATTGGTTACATTGGAACCCAAATCCAGAGAATGTTACATACTTCTGCTGTGTGAAGAAATGGTAATGATTATGAAACCTTTGATTGAAAGAGATGCCTTTGATACTTTGTGAGCAAGATGTATGCGCATGTGGAAGTGTAAAGCCCTTTCACCTAACCCAGGCCATTTACATTTCCGCTGATACACATTTAGGAAGCTCAAGTATGTTCTAGAGTTGGACTTGTACTGTTTGCCACATGAGAATTTTCAGGTGAATGTATAAAATATTTTTATTAAAAACGAATCTCTTCTTCATTGTTGGTGTCTCCTGATGAGTAAGTACAAAACAGCTTTACAGTTTTTAATCTGAAATTTCCAAAACCAGTTATCTATCGTTATAAGCAGGGGTTGTGTTCATTAAAGCACATAAGAAAAAAATGTCCTTAGTGGTAAAAATCACTATGTAGCTAGTTTAGAATGTGTCTGTGTGTGAATACATTATAATAGAGTCTTCATCCAATGTGCAGTTACTTAAGCTCAGCATTCTTTGTGAATTTCTTAAGCATCATGAAAAAAACATTTTTTTTATTAATCAAAGGAATTCCAGGGGTTGGAAATGCCCTATTTCTGAATTTTAAGTGACTCTGTCAGGTATCTGTCTGCATACACCTCAGTTACAAGTTTAATGTTGTACAACCTTGTATAGTACTCTCCACAATAGTCACAAAGGAGTTGCTTAAATATTTATTTTCTTTATTAGTTCAATATACCCTTATTTATTAAGTGTCAACGTATGCCAGTCACTGTGCTAGCTTCTAGGGATAAATAAAATATGCCCCCTTGTCCCAAGAAGCTTACAGCGAAAATTAGGAAAATGAGTACCCTCAGTGAAAAAAACCCAATAGCTACTAATCTATTATTTACCACGTAGGCACAAAGCATTGTATATACAATGAGAGGAAAGTCAAGACAGAAAGGCTAAGTAATTCATCCAACCTCATACAGCTACAAAGCTATAGAGCTGAAATGTGAACCTAGCAATATTTGGTTACAAAGCTTATGGAGCTCCCTATCACCTTCCTTTTAATTAGTTTAGGTCAGTTTCATTGTTTGTTTTTTAACTCTAAAATTGTAAGTGTATTTTAACTGGTTCAAATTTTCTGGTTAACCAAACATGCATTTTTTTTTTTCATCTAAAAGAAACTTATCTGACATTGCACAATTGTATTTTTCATTGCTTTTATTTTAAATGATGGAAGCTGTCCTATAGGAGGAAAGCAAAAAACAAATTTTAACATGTTTTGAGGAAAAAATATCCAGACTGGTTAACATTCATTCAGTAAATAGTTACTGACGTTTTTAAGATGACTAGTTATTGTGCTAAGGACTCAGAAGTGAACAAGGCAGATCTGGTCTCAGCACTCATGAAGCATTTCAGTACATTAATACCAAACAATCATATTCCTATTAGATTTTGTGGCCCCATCTAAATGACATATTTGTTTTGTAGTATCTTCTCAATCTGGTATTTCCTGCCTTAGACCACTCTGGTGCAACATTCAAGCAATAAGCAGGGTTCCCTTGACTACACACCTAAAGGCCTAATTCTCATGCCTCTCAACTTGGTCTAAATTATAGGTCCAATAAAATCAGTCTTCAGGACTATATCATCCTTCACCAGTAGGTGTTCCCATACATTAGCATATTATCTTAAAACCTGAGAAACATTCATTAGCATCTCAAATTCAGATTGCATAAAGTGAGCCAGTTTTGTGCAATGAAAAGTATTTCTCTTGTGTTCACTCAAAATGCAGATATCTATAGTAGGAAAGCTCTCAAAAGCAAGAAAAATGTTTAAATCAATATAAAAGTGAATACACAAGGCTTCCAAAATTAAATACATTGATAATTATGTGCTCTCTCTCAGTACTTGTGACCCAGTGTAGAAGATAAGGTGATAATTACCTTGTGTGTTTTTATGAAATTTAATACCTATAAAATAGAATATGCAGTAATGAAGCCTTGAAATAAACACTAAATAA